GGCTATGGATAAAGCTTAGTGGTGGAGCAAGCAAGGCCTCGGGTTCAGCATTGAAAAAGGGGGAATGCCCAGCAGAGTTGAATGCAAGGGAAAACTCAATTACTATACTTGGAGAGTCACAGGATGTGGTGACTGCTGGACCAGTAATGGCCAGCATTTTAGAAGTCATTAGGTTGAGAATAGATTCAGCTAGCATTTATAACTTTTATAGAAGTCTGACCAGGAAATAAAACAGGCAAATGGTGTTGACAAATGATTGCTTGAAATATAAGAAACACTAAACTATATTTAGTATTTAGACATCTAAGAGAAGGAATACCCGGGACAATAACCAAACCAGTAGTGTAGGTTTCTTTCAAAACAGAAACGAAGGCAGGGGTCATTGGAGCTGGCCTTAGGAAAAAGGTTATGACTCCCAAACCATCAGTAATGAGTTGGCCCTGCCAGCCTACTCTCTTGCTGTTAGCAGCTGAATAAACTCAGGGCAGTCTTCCTGACAGCACCTCCCTCTGGTTCTTGTCTGGCCTGTCCAGTTCTGAGTCAAGTCCCCTTCCCCGCCCCGTCAAATTTCTTCCACTCCTTTATTCATCTAGCAAACATCTTCTGTTCACTGTATCTGTGTGACAGTCACTAGAGAAAAGGATGAAAAAAAAAAAAAAAGAGAAAACCAAACCAAACAAACAACAAAAAACAAGTCCTTGATGGTGACTATAGAGACGAGTGGAAGTAATCAGAACTGGGAGTACGATGTGAGCAGGGTGGTGATCAGATGATTTGGGAGTCTCCTGCCTGTAAGCTGCCAAGAGTAGCTGAGGAAAATCCCTAAACTGGATCTACTGGTTGAAACCACAGGAGGGCCCTTCCTCCTGCTCAGCAATTGTTTAGAGTTAGGAACTGATGTTTTCACAAACCTTTTAACTTCACTTCCTTTTACCTTTCCTATGATTTAGCCTGGTGGTAGTGTCCCACAACCTTGAGTCCCAGCATTCAAGAGGCAGAGGCAGAGGCAGAGGCAGGCAGATGTCTGTGAGTTCAAGACCACCCTCATCTACAGAGCTAGTTCCAGGACCGCCACGGCTACAAAGAGAAACCCTGTCTCAGCGGAAGGGAAAAAGAAAGAAAACTTTGTTAAGATTTGTCTATATATTGTATCCGTGTGTGGCTACACAGTCAGAGCGGTGTTAAATCCCCTGGAGCTAGAATTACAGGTGGTATTGAGCCACTCATTGTAGGTGCTGAGTATGTAACTTGGTTCCTCGCCAAATAGTATCAATTTAGGCTATGCATGGCACATGCCTTTAACCCCAGCACTCTGGAAAATAAAGGTAGCTTGATCTCTGAAGTACGAGGCCGGCCTGGTCTACATAGTGATTTCCTGAACAGCCATGCCCAGAGCATTTGCGTTTAGTGATTTGAACCTGATTTGTCAGGATTGCATGACTAGTGCTGTTATTCACTAACCATTCCTCTTGCACCGATATATGTCCTTTTTTATTTTTAATTTTATTTATGTATGTATTAGCTTTTTCGAGACAGGGTTTCTCTGTGACTTTGGAGCCTGTCCTGGAAGTAGCTCTGTAGACCAGGCTGGCCTCAAATTCACAGAGATCCGCGTGCCTCAGCATCCTGAGTGCTGGGATTAAAGGCGTGTGCCACCACCTCCCGGCTATGCCTTTTTTTTTTTTAATTAACTTTTTTTTTTTAGTTCTTTGGGTGGTGTAGGTGTGGGTGTCTACATGGGATATATGTGCCTGTAAATTGTAAATGCAGGTGCCCGTGGAAGCCAGAAGCATGTTATTCCCTGGAGCTGAAGTTACCGACTGTTGGGAGCCACCTAACACGGGTGCTGGAAACTGAACTTGCGTCCTCTACTACAGTGCTGTTCATCTCTGAACAATCGCTTCAGCGCCTTCTTCCCTTACGCCGCCCACCCATCCTGAAGGCACATTCCCAACCCTAAGCCCCGCCCCTTGCGTTACACTTCCTCCCAAAGAAGGGCGGAAGTCGAGGTGCGGCATTTGAAAGTGCAACCCCCCCGCCCGCCCTCCACTGCGTTGGTCCCGTCTCCTCCGTTTCCCGGGTTTTGCTAAGGGCTTTTGCTTCGGCGCTTCTCGAAGGCCAACTACCACAGGCGCGAAGGGAGGTCCACCAGACTCTGCCGATCACCTAGTGGAAGCGGAGAGCTGAGAATTATGTTTTGTATAAATCTCGCGCGGATTCCCACGGCCCCATGGGAGAGTAGGGGCGGAGCTAGGAAAGGCGAGGCGCGTCACCTCCTAGGCTCCACCTCTAGCTGCGTCTTCTAATTGTGTTCTTCCGGCCTAGGCCTCCTCTTCGCCTTCCCTCCGCCATCGGGCAGCACACGCCTAACTCAGATTCTCGCCATGGTAAGACTATCGGCCGCCATCCGTTCCTAGGCGGCTTCCCCGAGGCCGGAGGCCACCGTGGCTTTACGGTGGGCATGCACAGCATCAAGGGGCGGGTGCATTTTCAAATTTTGGGTTTTTGTTTTAGTGGGAGTTAAGCCACCCCTCTGGTCATAGGTGCGACATTAAAATCAGCAATCCCGTTTATTCTGGAGGTGTCAGGCTGCTGATTGTGCAGGCTGGCGAGGGTTACAAAGTATTCTTCGCTTAACCTCGACCAACGGTTGTCTGCATGTTTTTGGGCAAAAAAGAGAGTCTTGGGCCCACTCTGCTGATTTATTGAACCGTAGCTTTCTCTTGGCATGCAAAAAGAGCACAGGTCAGAAGGGGAACTTGCACAGTTAAGAGTTAACAGGACTTAAAGACATCTTTCTTTAGAAGCTCTGTGCCACTCGGTGGAAGCGTCTACATGCCACAGAGCACATCAGTCATTGCCTACTGACATTGTTTATTGGCTTCTAGGTACAAAATGGAATTTAACCTTAACTTTGTTAAGGAAAATCTCCAACTCCTACTGTGGTTTAGGGGAGTGCTCATTACCTGTAAAAGGTATATGCCCACTGAGTGTCAAGGACTACATAAATCTAAGTGACCCAGACAACGTTCCTTGAAAGTAGATAATACTGAGCACCTAGAGTCAGTGACTTAAATGATTGGCCGGTATTGAGCAAGCTCTGTCCTCGTTCCAGGAAGTTCCTCCATGTTTGCATCGGAAGAACAGCAGCACAGACACTAAGCCCGTTTTTAGAGCAGACAGGCATAAAACCTGACACTAATTATCACTCTTGAACTGAGGCAAATTGTTTAAGCCATAAACTCTGACTCCAGAGAAATAATGAGGTTCGGAGGACTCCGTATTTCGAGGATGGGGAGTATATTTCCCAGGCCAGATGTTAAGTTCAGGGGGTTTCTCTGACTCACATGAATAGGCTCTGGTATCACTAATCTGGTTGCATCTCCCCCTAGTCTTCTCACAAGACTTTCAGAATCAAGCGATTCCTGGCCAAGAAACAAAAGCAAAATCGTCCAATTCCTCAGTGGATTCGGATGAAAACCGGTAACAAAATCAGGTAAGACCCCCCCCATTGTCATTTGGGGTATGTAGACAACATGCAGTCCAGACCATCTCTGCTTACTGTGCTGCAACTCCTTTTTGTTTTTCCTTTTGTGTGCATGGGTGCACATGGGACAGCATTCAGGAATCAGTTCTCCATTCACCAAGTGGTTCCTGGGAAATCCAGCTCCGCTCATCAGGCTCCGTGGAAGTGGCTTTGCCTACTGAACCTTGCTGAGAGCCCCTGAAATCCTTCCCACAAACCTTTTGTAAATAATGTTTTATTGGTTTCTGCAGTCACACCTAGGCTTTACAGGCAGATGTCTCGGTTCCTTACTAATGTCCCTATGAAAGCTTAAGGAGATTGGCTATCCTGCCAGAAAACAGCTCTTTTCCTGCATCCAGATTTGAATTGATAGCTTCAGAAGAACTCAGGGCCTCCCACATGCAAAGGAAGTGCCTTACTTGAGTTCTCTCTGAAGCTTTGGAGGCAAGTGTTGGAGAAATGGGCATTGAGAAGTCTTGACAATTTACCGGGTAGCCAGTGACAGTTCTGGTATGCTGATGTTTGTGTTGCTTTAATTGATTTGTGTGTTGGTCCATGCCCCACATGTGGTCAGGATGGTTTGTAGGACAGTTTTTTCTCTTCGACTGGACGAATTGGCGACTGGACTCAATTCCTCAAACTTGATAGTAAGCACTTCTACTGGCTGAGCTATCTTGCCTGGCTGCTGGTTTTTGATGGGCTTCGTTTTCTCAGACAGGGTCTCTACAGTCCAAACTGCTTGGGAACAAATTAGGGGGTGGTTATTTTAGAGACAGGATCTCAATATTTAGACCAGGATGCCATTGGATTCTGATCCATATGCCTTCCAAGTGCTGAGATGTGGTTCTGCTGTGGCTAAAATTGAGGGTTCATGTTCTTAGCAATTTAGCTACGTAAGCTTGGAAATCAGTTAATTACTGTATTGTAAATGTTGGCATGGTAGGTGCTGCCTCATTTTAATATATGTACATAAATTTTGAGACTTTAATTGCAATCAAGAATAGGCTTTCTGACCCATACTCTTGCCCCCATACAATGCTAAGGAAAGCTTTGAGGTGCTAGGCAAGGTGTTTGTTTGCAACAGCCCAAACTGACCATCCTACTGCCTCTACCTCCCTGAGATTAGAGGTGTGAACCACCAAATAGTCTATGTAAATACATGAACCTCAGATAACTAGAGTCCTAGCTGACTAGGGTCTGCTAGTTGATAGTTAGAATATATAAGCGGGGCATTGGTGGGCACGCCTTTAATCCCAGCACTTGGAAGGCAGAGGCAGGCAGGTCTGATATATATATATATATGAATGAGTAGGGATGGTATTTTGTTTGAGGGATTATAAATGCCCTAACCCAGAGTTGGCCATTTCTGGCTTTCACTTAGGGGTGCTAGGGTTTGAGCCAAGCGTACTCTGCTCAGCAAGTTCTCTGCAGTGATTAGACTCTAGCCCCAGCTCCTCTCCAACTTTGAGAACTTAAAGCAGGTCGCAATTACAGTGCTTCATTTTGTGGGAGTACTGCCATTAACCTGCTGAAAGAAAAGCCATGTTGATTGTTTTCTGATTTTGCCTTCCTGGGGGTAAAATCATGACACCTTGACATGAACACCAAACTGTTCTGTGTAACTCAGGAGCTGTTTTCTCCTACGTGAACGTAAGTTCTAGGGGTGTATTCTGGTTGCCAGATTTGCCCAGTGGGCACCTTTCCCCAGTCAGCCATCTTGTTAGCCTTTGCAGGAACTTTTGTATGTGATGCATAGGAGGGTTCAGACTATGTCTGCATTTACCCCATCCAGGTCTGTGGATCAGAATGGAGGAGATATGGGGAGAAAGCTTTTCCTACCTCTCCCCTTCAACTTCACTTAGGATTAAATTATTTGAACCTGTGCTGCAGTGCTGGGAATTGGACCTAAAGTTCCCCCAAATGCTTGGTTTAAGATTGCCTGCCCTTGCACTCAGCTGTCTATCCCATTCAGGCTGTTCTGGAACTCTCTAGTAAGCTCCTTATCCTGTACTTTAAAAGGCCAAATTTGGTAAATGTGAACCGCTATATTGTGACCGTGCCATCTGGTAACTTGTAGCTTCATTCTATGCAGGTACAACTCCAAGAGAAGACACTGGAGGAGAACCAAGCTGGGCCTGTAAGGAAAGATTCACACAATGGCAAGACTGAGTTTGTACTGAATCATGGTCAACATGATCTATCTGCCAGATGGATGGAGATCAAGATTATTAACCTGCAGATTTGGTCATGTTGAAATTGGGAATGATTTGTCCAGTAATAAAAAATATATGGAGTCTATCAAATTTCTCTTCTGGTTTGTGAAGTACTGGATTTCCCTTACCAGGCCTAGTGAGCTACTGCTGCTTCTGCAGTATGTGTCAAGAATTGTTCTCTAGGAGCTGGAATTACCGAGTGCTTGGTATTCTTGTAGGAGTCCTAGATTTGGGTCACCTCAGGGGGATCCCTCTGGGTACTGAACACATGATGCACACATACATGTAGGCAAGCAGTCATGTACAGAAGTCTTTGAACCTTAAGATTGTGTATGTGTCCACATATACACACCATAGTGTTGTGTGGAGATCAGAGAACAACTTCAGTGTTTCTCAATACACTTATGTGTGTTCCAGATGTTGAATTCAGGTTGCCAGGCTTGCATGGCAGAGGATAACAGCAAAATTATAGTTAGAGTAGTAGTGAAAGTCATATGGTTGGGGATCTCGTGAACTGTTAGACAGTCACATTAAAACTACTCTATAGGCTATTTTTTTTTAAATAGATTTTTTGTGCATGAATGTACTACCAATGGTTGTGAGTCACATTGTGGGTGCAGGGAATTGAAACCAGGTCCTCTGAGCCATCTCTTCCACATTGTGTTGGCTAGTTTTGGGGACTCTAAAAGGAATCTTTGAACTTTCCATTTATTTGAAGGTGTATAGTGTGTGGGGTCCAGGCAACATGTTGGAATGAGTTTTCTACCCTGTAGATGCCAGAGGTCCAACTCGGAAGAGCAGGCACCTTCTGAGCCCCTGGTGGATCTAATGAGTGGACTGGCCAACAAAGCATAAGGTTTTTACAAATGAGTGCCATCCTTAGGTCTTCTGGAAAAGGCAGCAGCAGAATGGTTGTTGAGAGTTAGCTGTGGGTATGAGACCAACTGTAAACCTCAGTCTAAATTGGAGCCTCTACTGGGTGAGGAAGAGACCTGACAATGCTCAAAAGTGCTAGGTTTAGATGTAGAATTTTTGGTTTTTCAAGAGAGGGTTTTATTGTCCTGGAACTCCAGCTCACAGAGATTCTCCCTAAGAGGAATTAAAGGTGTGTGCCTGCCCCCACCACCCAGCAGGCCTTTTTTTTTTTTTTTGAATGGTTAAACTATTTAGCACTGGCTGGCCTCAAACTCATAAAGATGATCTTTCTCTGCCTTATGAGTGCTGGGAGTGTGTATCACCATACCCAACCTGCTGTAGAATGTTTAGGGGGTGACCAGGGTAAACATTTGGGGTTTCAATTCCCTCCCTCAGCAGTATATGCTGTATGCTGGATAAGTAACAGCAAGCCCAGGTAGAGGAAAGAGGGGTCTTACCATGGGAGCCAATTCAAGAAATCAGAAGGTGCTGGGATCTTCCCATTCCAGGCTTCTTATTCAAGAGTTTGCTTGCAAAGAAGGCAGAATGATGAGAAAAAACATTCTGAGTGTTGCATTCACACCTGGGATTGGATCCCAGCGCCATCTCTGAAACAGTTGTGGCAATTTGCTCTTGGAAAATAAATTAAAATCCCCTGGTTGTGGTGCAACCCTAACACTTGAGAGGGTGAGTTGGGATTGCCATCAGCTCAAGACCACTCTGGGTTATAAATTGAGGTCCAGGTCATTCTGAACTTCAAAGTAAAATTAGCTCAGTTGGTAGTACTTGGCTAGCATGTGAGTAAAGCCTTGGGTTCAGTTGCCTGCACCACCAAAAGCAGGGATGCTGGTGCACATCTGGAGTCCCAACACCTGGGAGGCAGGAGCAAGAAAATCAGAAGTTCAAGGCCAGCCTGAGCTACAGAATCAACAGATTGGTAAGAATATTTACACATCTATGTAAAGGACCACTATGTGCATTTCCTTCTGGACTCAAGCCCAAAAGGAGCATCAAATCCCCTGAAACTGGACTTAAAAGTGGGTGGGTGCTGGGAACTGAACCCAGATACTCTGTAAGAACACCAAGAACTTCATTGCTGAGCCACCCCAGTCCCTACTTCTATTTTTAATTCTGTGTATGCATGTATCTGTGGATCTGTGCATATATGAGCGCAGGTGCCCAAGGATAACAGAAGAGGTTATTGGGTCCCCTGGAGCTGGAGTTCCAGGTGTGTGTGAGCTATCTGATGGTGCTGAAAGCTGAACTCTAGTCCTCTGCAAAGAGCAGAATGCACTCTTTAACTGCTAAGCCTTCTCTCCAGTCCCTATACAGGGCCAATTCTAACAGCTAACTCTCCCATTTTACAGATGAGAAGATTAAACTATATTCTTGCTCGTGGCAATTAGATTTTTTTTTTTAAGACAGTGTCTCTTGTATCCCAGGTTGGCTTAGAACTCACAACTCACTATGTAGTGAAGAATGGCCTTGAACACCTGATGCTCCTGCCTTCATGTTCCAAAGTGCTGGGGTTACAGCTGAGTTTATAGCTACTCACTTATTAAGTACTTGGATACTAGGCAGCAGTTAGCAGGGCTTAAAATAAGAACACTGTTGAATATATTTTGCAAATTCTTGGAGATATTGGTTGGGGTATTAATTACTTCTACATCTGCTAGGCACACCTTTAATCCCAGCACTTAGGAGGCAGAGCCGGTCACATCTGAGTTTGAAGGCAGCCTGTTCTACAGTGTGAGTTTCAGGACAGCCAGAGTTACAAAAAGAAACCCTGTCTAGGAAAAAAAAAAAAGCAATTTTTTTTATACTTATATGATAATATTCTCTTCAGGGGTGGTTATCTACACAACATCAAACAGCTACACAAAGCTTTGGTGAGTGAGTGGAGAACCAGCCCCATGTGGGAAATGCAAGGGTACCACAGTCAAGGCTGTGCGTGACTGTGTGTTTGGATAGAGGGAAATGAAGTGGTCAGCGAAGACAATTAATGAAACAAAGACTATGTCTGGCATAGTCACCCCATGAAGGGTGATTTTGCAGACCTGACTGTAGCTAGGAGTGGGGGGTGCCACTAAAAGCATCCACCAGGGATCCTTTTAAACATGCTATGACTTGCATGGGTTAGTCCTCTTCAACAGAATTATCCTGCTCCAAATACCAACAATGCCAGCGCTGAGAAAGGCTGGTCCCACAGTGCTACCCTGCCAGCCAGAGTGAGTTCTGGCAGACACAACTCTAAGCCCCTACCTCTGTTTCTTTCTCAGTGCTCTCGGGATAAGCTCACTCCCTGAAACGACTCAACAGGAGTTCAGTGACAGGGATCTGCCCCTCACAGCACCAGGTGCCATTCACTCAGCTGGGAATGTTGTTCCTCTTCACTTTCTCACTCACTCCACACTGTTCAAGTGGCAGCTTGCTTTATAAGTCCACAGGGACAGTCCAGACCAGTCAGGCTTACCTCTTCAACCAGCTTCTTGATTTATTTACTCGCAGTTGTAATTGTAAACTTGCACATGGGATTGATTCATTGATGGCTGCCTTTTTCACCAGATTATGAACTCTGCAGGATGGACACAAGGGGATGGCTTGCACACTGATGTTTGTATTCACATAGCAGCAACTAGTAGAAAAAGTTACTCAGTTGACTGAATAAGCAGATGAATGAATGAGAGTGTGGATAAATGAAGAGATGAGCTTGCAAGTGAGCCACAATATAAAACAAGAGCATCAATGCATATGTGCACAATGAATAAAGTAGCAATCATTTTTATTTACTTGAGGCAGGGTTTTGCTACATTAGCCAGGCTTGTGTTGAGGTCTTGGACTCCAATGATCATCATGAGTTAGCCTCCCCAGTAACAGTAGCTGGTAACACAATGCAATGCCAGCATGCCTGGTTAGAATCTTTATAAAGAAGTGAGAATGTGAACATTATTGAACATATCTTATGTTCATTATGTGTATATATTTCATAATGTGACTCGGTTTTCATTTGTATACTTCCCTGGTTATATGCATATGATGGCATTGTGTTTTATTACAAAGAAATTATATTTTCCATGATGAGCAGACATGTGTTTTTAATTTTTAAAAGTTTGTATGTGTTTGTGTGTATGACATGTACGCTGTGTGCTGGTGTCCACAGAGGCCAGAAGAGAGTGTCAGATCCCTTAGCGACATAGTTTGTAAGCTGACTGATATGGGCGCTTAGAAACAAACTTGGGTCCTCTGGAATGTGAATGTTGACAAAGCTGGGTCCTCTGCAGCCACAAGCATTCGTTTTTATTTATTCATTTATTTATTTAGAGACAGGGTCTATGTGGTCCTGGTGTCCTGGAGCTCAGTATATAGACCAAGTTGGGCCTTGAACTCACAGAGATTCTCCTGACTTTGCCTCCTAGGTGATGGAATTAAATATTTACATGAACATGCCCTGCTCATTGTACTCTTGATATGGAACAGCT